TCTAAAATAAGTTAACAGAGTCATAGAAACTGGCCAACGAATGGTGACCAGAAGCAAACAAGAAATCCCTCTGTTTCGTAGATTTGGAACATTTTAAATATGTAATCATACCAAGAAGCGTGTAAAAACATATTTTAGCCCTTGATCATAGTGGTGCCATAGTCAATCTGTCCTCTGAATCTCGCTAGGGTTCATTAAGTAATTTACAAAAAACATTCTTGGTGTAGATCGATTTCTTAACCTTTACACCCAACCTTTAGTATCCACATTCTCAAAACTCTCCTCTTTACATTTCTTTTGATACTGACAAGGAGAATCATTACACAATCAAAGCTTCTTAACTGGTAATCATTTCCTTTATTCTCTTAATGAATGATTCGGGAGTATTACTGTAACGATATGCTGGTCACTCTCGGGGTTTAGAGGGTTAAAATGGTTTACTTGCTGGCTCATGAATCTAAATAATAAAGCGAAAAAGTGACTGGCAACAAAGCCATCCCCCGAGTAGAGTAGGCACGTAAATCCAACGAAACAGAATTAATGGAAAAACAATTTTTTTTTTCAGCTCGAAGAACTTCGTCATCACGTGGGAAGCCTAGAGGCTGAGAAGGCTGCTATTGTGAAAGAACTCAGCTCGCTTCGTTTCAGCAGAATCACCAGATAACAAGGAGGAATACCAGATTACCTTCTGAGAAAATATTCCTGTTGCAGCTCTAGACAACAGTGTTTTCGTGAACTTGTGACCGATACTTTTTTGAAACCAGTCCTTTCCTTAATTTGCATTGGTGTGTTGACAGTGATCCAGTATTTTAATGGATTTTACACGATCGCTCAATGATTGGCTTATAAGTGTGGTACAACCCATCTGATCAATTTGATCTAGCAGTTGTTAAATAAAAAAAAATCTCTGATAGGTCGAGCGCATTTCTCAGTCATAAAAGCCGTCTTCCGGTGTTTTCTCTGAGATTTCATGGATATTTCCAAATTAGAATCGTAGTTTTACGGCAAGTGTTTTAATAACATCGTCGAGATTACAATGGAGTATGTTTAATCTATTATTTTAATGAAACTTCGATATCACGTCTCCGGGGGGAGAGAGGGAGGGGATAGAAAAATCACAGAAAAAGCTAAATACTTTAAAATACTAATACTTTAAATACTCTAAATACTTTCTTATATTTATTCTTGTCGATGAAAGAGCCTCTTGGTCATCATCATGTGTATAGGAAAAACCATGTCCATGTACAGAAAGCAAAGAAAGAATAGATGAATTTGAGAAGATTCCTTTGTCAAGGTTCAGGTTGTAGGCCTATTTCCAAGGCAGCCGAAATGACTTTGAGCTCGAGATTGGAACAACAGCCCACCGATAGAGAACCTTGGGGGGAGGAGGAGGGGAAAGAAAGGTTTCCCTGTTTGTATATCGTTTAGGTTGGTTCTAAACTTGTTTCTGGTCATCAAAGGTATCTTAGTATTCTGTAAATAGTTTTGTACATCATTTGTATTATAGCTTTGCCATTTTACACCTTATGATACTGATGAATTTACATTTGCATCTTTGGATTTTATTCAATTTAATAAAGTCGTTTCTTTTAATGATACCAATGTAAAATGATAATTAAAACAATTTTAAAGGTTAAAAAAAAAGTTCAAATGTGCTCTCAGTTTAAAGGGCCAATAATGTATCGAGCTTCAACATGCCCTACCTCCTTCCGGGAATTTTAACGTTTGAGAATTGGTTTGTTCAAATACCGCCCCACGGAGCAAAAATTGTGTTCAAATGCCCCACCCATTTTTTTGGTTAAAAGGCGAAGTCAACGACCTCGCCTTTCTAAACATTGGCCTAGTAGACCTTTTTTTCTGGGCCATTGGCTCACGAAAGTGAACTATTTACCTCAAGCAGATTTGTATTTAAAGACATACCACTTGTATTGCGCTGGAAAGACGACTTTTCTGGTTCCAGCCAGGCAAGGTTCAAATTCCCCACTCCCCGGGCACGGACGATGATCAAATGCCCGTGGATTTCCAGGGTGGGGGATTATAGTTTCGAATAAATTGGCGCATAATAAGAGGGAAAAAGAGAATGGGTATTAATAAACTTAGCGAGGGTAACTAATTTCTATCATGGGTAAATTGTTAAAAGAGTCTCAGTGCCCTACCTGTAGCGGCGAGAGGGGAAATGGAAAAAACAGCCGAAGCTGATTGTGATGAGAAAATCAAAATGGAAACCTGCTTGATGGAGAGCCCAGTGTGTGAGGCAATATCGTATTGCTCTGATGCATACGATCGTCGGTTCACCAACGAAACGGGACATACTAAAGTGAAGAGCATCTGTGATCGTTACAAACACAGCAAACCATCGACGTGCGCTGAGTCAGGGTGTAAGGCGTTTATTAGTTGAGCTGTATTCGTGTCCCTCGGGTACCTTCTCGTTATTCTTTTGCTTTTATCTATTTGGGTTTTCGTACAATGTTAAAGGGATAGACGTCCGTCTTCATTCCTTTTTTTGGAATCATTTTTTAGATATGTGAATTGTCTCAGAATAACAATGGAAATTCACCTTTGCCCGATTCAGGCGTATTTAATTATATATCGTGAAACTTACTCCATGAGCGAGATTAAGCAAAGTGCTTAAATGCTCTGTCTCTTTTTTTCAAGGAGCCTGGATTTTCAAGATTCTTATTGATTGCTTATCAATGTAAAAGGAAAAAAAGATTTGTGCCTGATCAGCCAGGAAATGCAGCTATCAAGGATGACTAGTTTTTTCCCTTTTTTTTAGCTTTTGTTTTCCTCTTTTAGCGCTTTTGTGTCGTTATCGTCGTAGTTTTTAACCTCTTTTGATATTGGTCTAATTTGAAGTTTGTTGGCGGTTATTTATATTCTCAATTGATCATAACCATTACAATTTCCTCAAATGTGATTGGTGCAGTAGCTGCTTTATTTTTCACAAATCATTATGTAGAGTTATAATCGGACAGTTGGCTGTAATCAGACACCTATAATCGGACAGTTGAAGCAGCCAATCATACTGAATCCTTTCAGTCAAATTCATCAATCTCAAAATTGATTACAATAACCATAGCAACAACCACTAATTCTAAAAAAGTTGAAGAATTTTTTTACTTAAAAATTGTCTTTACTGCACATATTTGTCCTAAATGTATTTGTTGTTTTCGGAAATTGTAATAGTTATAATTAATTGGTAACAGGACTTTGTGTCGTCCAATTCTGTCTGTAATCATACTCGTGATTGACGAATCGGACTCCCGCTTTGCGGTCATCCGATTTTGTTGATCACTCGTATGATTACAGGCCGAATTAGACTCCACTCGGTCCTATTACCATTATTAATCAGTTGATACCCTTTTGTTCTCATGTTTTGCAGACTTGTTATCCTCCCTTGAACGCACTGGAGATGAGGAGACTTCACGAAGAGAAACGAGTAACTTAAAGCGTTTCATTCTATTTCGTTGTGTTTATTTCGCGCCAGTTTTCTTTCTTCTGTGTGATCAATTTTGTAGATAAGTATGTTTCCAATAACGAAAGCAAGTTGCCAGTCCATTCTAGTAAATTTAAAGTCAAGTTGACTTCAGTTATGAAATTAAATTTTCGGTTGAAGTTGCTTTGTTGTTCAACTCACTTAAAGGAGTCTTTTTTGTCTTCCTTCAACCCTGCAAATTCCTGAAGGTGTGATCATTTTTTTAAATAACACAAACATTCAATTTCTTTTCAAACTGTTTAAAGGCAATTATACCTTTTGAATTTAGAAGTTTCATTGTTTGCTCTGACGCTGTGCCGGGAACAAGTTGAATATAATTGGTTTCAAGAAAAGATTTCAATTTGGTTCAATTCTCGTCAGGAAAGTAGCAAGCAAACTTGTTTTCTTCTTTTCATTTCAGCTGACTCTTTACTTTACTAAAACAAGAGATCTAGAGGTATGATTAAGTGGACGCTTTAATAAGCCTTACATATAAATTTTTAGCATATTGCTAAAAACCATTTGACTAAAACAATGTTGACTAATTTTCGATCGATTTTTTTCGGTTTTGGTGTACACATGGATTTTTGGTTTTTCTTTCGGGGAAAATATCATTGCAAAAGCAAGACACAAACAAAGTTAAACTCATACACAGCCTTTAAAGAAAACATTTAACAAAAATTACAAGGTCTATTCTTTACTTAAGCCACATACACCGGGTAATAATGTTCAGTTGACAACCGCGTGGAATTTAATAAGGTTAATACTCTACCTTGGCGAATTTTAAAGAGCCAACGTAGTTGAGTCGCATTCCTTTGCTTTAAACATGCCATCAGTCTTTGCATAGGAGCTGAAAATTCTGCAGTCGGGGTTTAAAAGCCGTCTGCTACGCCCTAGGATTGAAACAGCCATACACCAGAAATGTAAAGCAAATCACGTATTTCAACTTCTAGAATAGCCCCGTCAAGTTATTCAATGCGGACCCCCCTGTTACCAAGCCATTCCTCGCCCGCCTTTTTTCTTGTCATCTTTTCATGTAATCCTTTAAGACTTAAGGCAATTTCTCTAACAAACTTGTTGAAAAGCTTTTGAAACTTCAAAATCTGAACGTCTCCAGGGCATTGCCTTAAGTTTGTTAAACCATTTTATCAAACTTGAAATCTATCAATTCTCATTGCTAATTAAAAGTTACAAGCCACGCTTCCTTTCGCCTCGGAGTCTCGGCTCGCACTTATCACAGTTCTTGAATGTTTATCTTCGTCCTCCTTCTAACAAGATGAAATGCTGAATTATTTTTCATTGAACACCAGCGCTCCTGCGTAATAGGTGGTAATTCACTATAGTTAACTTTCCCAATTTGCGTTTTGCCCACCGACGCGGAGCAAAGTATTCCAGCGGGAACTTTTGCCTTTGAAGCTTTTGTTTTTGCCATTGTAAGACGCCATCCATTTCTTGGCTATTGTCGTGCATTTTTTTGTTCTCACTGATAAAGGAAATAGTTTTATTGTGTTCTCTGACGCTGTGCCAGGAATAAGTTAAATATAATTGGTCTCCGAGAAAGTTCCATTCCCCACATCAGTCTTGAAGTAACTACAGCAAGAGATCTTGAGGTAAGATTGAGACGCTTTGGTGAGCCATGTATGTAAATTTGTTTGCTTACTCATAAAATCCATTTTCTCTGAATACTAAATGTTTTCGAATCGGTATTTAAATAACGTGCAACATGGTTCAAGTGCATGTAGACTTGATACGAACAAACTGCTGCTCGAACTCAACACCTCAGGTCTTTCATCAGTTGCCTGGCATTTCAGCTTCTCTCTCTCTTTCTCTCTTACGTTTTTATTAACCTAGCATACATGCCGTAAAAGTTCAGCTAAAATAATCACCCACTGGAAATTTAATGAAAATTTTACTGAAGTGAACAACAAAAATGCGCAAGATCGTGTACAGCTTGTCGTTTTTTTCCATGTAGAATACATTTATTGAGGCCAGCAATGGAAAACCCGAGAATACGTACTTGTTTTGTTACAAACAAAATGAAAAGTTTTCGGTTTATCCCAACCTTTACAAGTTTCTTGCTACCTCTTTTCTACATTTACTGAAAGGAATTGTGGCAAAATGATGAAGATAATGACGATGATGATGTTATTACAATTGGTGACTTTTGCTCTCGCTGCCCACTCTTCCCTACCAAAAGATGGTGAAGAACCTCCTGCGAGTAAGTACTGATTCACGTATAGTTTTTTTAAAAACGAATAAGTACTTCTTCCAACATCTTGTCCGAATCGAAAAGTTTGTAAATAACTCGCCTCTGGCTCCTGTGTTGCGAAGTTTTCTCTTGTTGCATGTTGTTGTTGTTGTTGCATGTCTGAAGTTGTTGGGTGTAACTTTTCAATCTGATCCGTGTAACTGGGATTTACATTTTGATAATATTATATCGAAAGCCAGTAGTCGTCTGTACATCTTACGTGTTTGTAAATTCTATGGACTGCCGCTGGATCATCTTCATCTTCTCTTTATCAGTCTTATTCTACCTATATTTACATATGCTGTAGAAGTATGGGGCTGCGCGTATTATCATAAGTATCTGAGTCGCATAGACAGGCTGTTCAAGAGAGCTTTTAAGCTTGGCTACTGTAAAGAGCTTTTTTCGATTGAAAATATTATTATTCTAAAAGATAAGAAGTTGTGGGCCAAGATCACCGACAGCAATTTTCCAACAGCTTTAGATGACCTTTTGCCACCAGAGCGAACAATGGATACGCTACGTAAGAGGCGCCATAATTATATTCTCCCGCTTGTCAGAACTGAACGTTTCAAAAGGACCTTTATTAATAGATGTTTGTTCTCTTATTAGTTATTCAGTTAGTAATTTAGTTAGTTCATTAGTTTTATACTTGCTGATTTCATATCATTGTAACTAAACACGTTTGTTGTTTAGAGTGCTTAATAAAGACTTATTATTATTATTATTATTATTGTTTTCTCAATGTCCTGTGTCAAGGATTATTGCCTTAGGAAACCGGTAAAAATTGCGGTCTATTACTTCAAAGAACGAAAAAATAATTCGTCTGACGAAGTTGAAAGATATAATACTCCTTCGAAGTCAATCTTATGCACGACATTATGAACAAAAAAAACTCTTTCGCAGGCCTCTTTCGCCCTAACTTCATAAATCCGTTTTTTTTATGGTTTTTCTTGTGGGTATTCTTTTAATTGCTGTGTCTTGGGAATACTTTCCAATCAAACTTTATCTGTTTGCAACTTGATTGGGGGGTGAAACTAGGTTTTCCGAAATTCAGTTTTGGCACCGAGCCGATATGTAAAAACAACATTAAATTCATGGGCTATGGATCCTGTGTCCTGTGAACCCTTTCCATGTGGTTTAATCTAATAGAGATGCCTAATCAGCTAGTTCCACCAACAAATCCACCAACGTGATCGCTCTTTTACTATCACCAGATAGTACAGCACAAAGTCGCATGATGCAAAATGTTTTGCTACCTTCATTATTTTAACTACATACATTCAACTATTACATCGACACTGGTTAATATCATCAGTTTTAATGCTACTTGTCAACTTGTTTTGTTTGAAGGAATTCAATGCCCCACATGTGAAGGAGAGACGGAAGATGATTGTAATAGCAAAACTGAGATGGTAGCTTGTCCCATAGAGGCGCCGATATGTGCGGTGTACACAAGTATCTCTCCTGAGTTCATTTGCAAGTGTGTCGACCACGCGGAATTTCACACGGTCTTGAACGAGTGCAAGAACAATGATTATTGTAAGATGGCGAAGTACGGTAAGTCAAAGAGTGCAGCTTACGTAAAAACTAGCACTGATCTATCAATCGTTTATTCTCCTTATGGGAATTAACAATTTGGCAAACATTAGCTTCTATACATCTTTATCACGCACCGCCATCTTGGATTCCGTGGCGCACCAAATCGAGGCTAGACGGGCACATGGTACAGAAATTATTAACGCAGCGATGATCGTGGGCCATGCTTGGTTGTAATCT